ATTTGAGTACCCACATGCATTTTGATTTATTTTTCATATATACATATATATAATATCTATAAATATATGAAAAATTGATGTGGGTACTCAAATGAAAAGTCTCGTTGAGTGTGATGTCAGGGTGAGCTTATATCTTTAGAAATTTCAATAATTAACAAATGACCTTGTATCTTGTGAACTATTGACATTTTTGCAGATATAAGCTCACCCCGACATTAAATTCATCGAGACCTTTCATTTGAGTACCCACATCAATTTTTCATATATATATATATATATATGAAAAATATATGAAAATGCATGTGAGTACTCAAATGAAAGCTCTTGATGAGTGTAACATCGGGATGACCTTATATCTTTAAAAATGTCAATATTTAAGAAAGTACAGTTCAATTTAACAAAAGTAATTATTTAATAAAGCAAAATTGTATTAATTTATAGTTCACAAGTCATGACAGTCACATAGTGACTGCAAGATTGCTAGTTACCATTATTATTGCCATAAAAAAATAAAATCTCAATAAATTTCAATCAATAATTTGTAAGTCTGCTGTGAATATAAATAAAATAAAAAAATTGTAGATAATTTAGATAATCAATTTGTTATGTCTGAAAACGTTGGAGCTCCGCATTTTAATAATTAACAAAATTACTGATACTAAAATCAGCAGACAGCTGATAATGATTTAATTTTAATTCAGATACTTTTAAAAAAATGTTGCTCTAATTTTTTAAAGTTTCTTTGTGAGATAATTGTTTTTTACAATAATTAATTAACCAAGAAAATTATAAAAATTTTCAATCTATTAATTTAAGTATCAAAAAATAAAAAAATGAATAATTTGTAATCAACATTATTTAAAAAACATATAATTAGACTCACAATTGTCTTGAAAATCTTGGTAAAAAAGCCTCGGGGTATCAATGGCTGAAGAATTATTGTTAATAACCTTGAAGTGTGTCAACTGACTGCTAGCACCGTCTCACACCTTTGTTTAATCTCTGAAAATAATAAAATAATGATAATTACTATTATCCCAGCAGAACAATAAATTTAATATAATAGAAACGAAATAATAAATCAACAATAGTAACATACCGTCACTAAATCAACAATTACAATTTTTCACTCAATTCCCGTGACAGTATTGATATTTGCATTATTGCTCATACAATATGACAATTACGAGTAAATAAAAAATTTTAAATAATAGTTTTAATCTACTAAGTGTCATCCATACAACAGTGGGTGTTTTTGATACACAAAACAGTTTGTTAACAGTACAATAATATATCACCGCAATGACAGTCTTTTTTTTTATAATTACCGAAACACAATAACTTGGAACAATTGTTGTAAGTTGACTTTTTAATAATAGTTTTTCTATCTGTTGACAAAGTCAAAGTCACCCGACACTTATTTGTGATCTTATGACAAGATGATGCTCAAGTTAGCTGACATCTGACAATTTTTAATAAATAAATTATAATAAAAAATTCATAATAATTAAATTAGCTGACGTTCAACAATTTTTGACCTTTTTTTCATTAATTAAATTAAAATTAAAAAATATTTTTAAAAAATTGCACTTGTTTTTAAAATTTTCTACATGTGATACTTTTTTTTTTTAATAATTTTTATGAAAATTAATTTAGAAAATATTGTACAATTTTTTTAACAAATAAATTATGGCAAAAAAATTAGAAAAAAAATAAAATCCAATTTTTTTGTTAAAAAAATTTATTTGTTAAAATAAAATAATTTTTTTTTAAAAAAAAAAAAATTAAAAAATGGATGACATTAAAGTTAGCAGTCAATTTTTTAATTTTATTTATCAAAAATATTTATTCTAAAAAATTATTTTTAAAAAATTGCAATTTTTATTTTTTAAAATTTCTACATGTCAATTTTTTTTTGCTATAAAATTATTACATATATTAAAATTATTAATTTAGCAGATATTTAATAATTTTTAGAATTTTTTTTTTAACAAATAAATTATGGCAAAAGAAAAAATAAAAAAAATTGACAAGTAGAAATTAAAAAAAATTAAAAATGCAATTTTTTAAAAATAATTTTTTAGAGCAAATTTTTTTATTAAAAAATTCTCTAGAGACTGCTAACTTTAATGTCATAATTTTTATAAAAAATGTTTAAGTGTCTGCCGACTTTTTCATTAATTTTTCAATAAAATAAACTACAAAAATTTTCAAATGTCGGCTAATTTAATTTTCATAAAAAATTCCCGGTGTTAAAATTAAAGAGAAAAAATAAACAATGAATTGAAAAATATAAAGTGTCTGCTAATTCAGCATCATCATCATCATCATGACAACTTCCCGAAAAAACAAAAAAAATTGATAAAATATTAATTATTTAATAGAATTTTATAGTTCTTAATATTCTTTTAATTTATTACAACGCGCACAATAAATTAAAACGTTAAATCAAATGCAAATTAATTATTTATCACCGAAAAACTAATTGCAAGTTCTAGACACCCGAAAAAGTCAGTTACTCCGACTTTCACCATCTTAGAAGTGACGCCATCTTGAAAGCCGTTACAATTCAAAATTTTCATTTTATTTTCTAATTTAAATAATTATTTAAAATGAATTTAATAATTAAATTGATAAAATAAATATAAATAAATTGTAAATAATGTAATAAATAAAAAAAAAGAACTTAATAAACTGATAAAAATGTCCGCGCATGCGTGAAAAGAGAGGGAGAATTCAAAAAATTTTTACCCGAGTGGCGGGAGATATTATTGGGGGGGCGAAAACATTAAAAGAGAGTACGCCGGCTTACTAAAGATCCACGCACGCTGTCTAGTCGTGGATTCGAATTACTCGACGTTTGTACACACGTTACATATGTATTTAACACTTAGTACACCTACATGTACTCACAGTACCAATAAAAACATAACAAACTAGTGTCTACACAAAGGCCTTTTATTAATTACTTATTAGCGGTGTAGCAATAACACATTATAAATATAACTAATAAAAAAATATTAATTTTATTTTTAAAATGACTTCGTGACAAATTGTTTTAAGTGTACAGTGTACATAGTGTCATTTTTTTTTTTTATTAATTATTACATAATTTAATAAATAAGTTAAAATGTCAAAAAAGCAATGGATGGTTTTATTGATGATTTTCTTCGCTTATCTTCTTTTTGGTACTGGATTATTTTTTTACCTAGAAAGTCAAGATGAAATAGAAAAAGTGCAGAAAGCTCGTCAAGAACGCATTGAAATTAATGGTAAATTTTTATTCTTTTTTTAATTTAATTTTCGGAGCACAAAAATCAGCAAAAAAAATTAAATAATAATGAGAATTAAGTTAGCTGACATCTAAAAATTTTTAGAATTTTTTTTTATTACAAAAAAAAAATTTCATTTATAAAAAACTTTAAAAACTGTCAGTGCAATTTTTTAAAATATTATTTTGTTCTAATTTAATTATTTAAAAAAATTAAAAACGTCGGCTAACTTTATTATTATAAATAATAGAAAATAAAAATGACACTGAAGTTAGCAGATGTCTAAAATTTTTGATTTTTTTTTTTTTTTAATTAAATTACAAGTAAAAAAATATTTCTAAAAAATTGCACTGAAGTTTTTCAAGTTTTTTACATGTGCAATTTTTTTTTTTTAATTAATTAATTGAAAATTTTTTAATAAAAAATTTCTAAAAATTTTGAAATGTCAGCAAACTTAATTTTCATAAATAAAAATAAAAATAAAAATAAATAAAATAATAATAATAAAAAATAATAGTACTATTTATTGGTTTTATTTTATTTTATTATTATTATTATTTTAAATGGATTGCTCAGCATAAGCTTGATTTTGGTGAGTTGATAAATCTAAGTGACAAGATAGTGTAATCTGTTATCGGAGCAATTAGTCTAGTACTTCGGTAGGATCAGATCTGAGGGATTTTAGTGATATTTATGGTTTAAAATGGCTTGTATGGTGCTTAAAAATAAATTATTTACCGTTTTGATTATTTTTTTTTTTTATAAAGTCGACGTGGAGTTGTAAATGTGAGTAGAGGAAGTGTAAGTGCAAGTGGACGGATAATAGCGTTAGGATTTTTGTATGCAAAGGAGTGCCGGATTGGATTATTGCGGTTGAGAAGGCTTTGTCCATCCTCGGTTTACACAATGCCATGTGTCTTTATTTATTGACGCTTGATCCAAGGGCCGATTGATCGATCCGTTTCTTTTAATGTTATTTTACAATTATCGTATATGTTTATATTGTTGTATTATATTACACTGATTAGTTTTGGTGATTTTTAAATCTGTTTTTAATTGTGATACTTTTATATAAATACTCGAAAGTATTTATTTATCTTTTGTGTTGTTTTTTTCTTCATTCATTTATATATTATTCCATTCATCCATTTGTTCATTCATTTTTATTTGTTGAGATTCTTGATAGAGTTTTTCAATGTTTTTTTTTGATAATACTAAAGTTAGCCGACGTTTTTAATTTTTTATTAAAAAAATTAGAAAAAAATATTTTTAAAAAATTACACTACAGTTTTTTATAAATAAATTTTTTTTTTTATAATTTTTTCAATAAAAAAAAAATCTAAAAGGTTTTAGATGTCGGCTAACTTAATTTTCAATGTCTTTATGCGGTTTTTCTTGAGATTTATATTTTATTTTTTATTTCTTGCGGTATTGTGTCAGGTTTTTTTTTTTATTTAAATAATTTATAATTTTTTAATGAACTAAAAATTTTAATAAAATTTAAAGTAAAAAATCAAAATAAATAATTTAAAAAAAAAGAAAAATTATGTAATTACACTTAATAATATTTAACTGATATGGAGTAATTATCTTGTTTACAAGAAAAAATATCTAAATTAACAATTAAAAGGCTTCTTGAAAAGAAAGATATCGATAATTTTGTATCTGAAAATTTTTAAGATTTCAAAGATAATATTTTAGTCTAAATTTAATAATTAACTTTATTTTTTATTTTTTTTTTAATTTAACTAATTTATTAAATAATAATTAATTTATTAACTATTAAATAATAATTAACCAATTTATTTTGAAGTTTAAAATTTTATTAAAAAAAAAAAAAATTAGAGTATACTTGTTAAAAATACTCCATTGATTTGAAATCTCAGTGATTAAATTATCACTGAAAATTTATCACCCGATAAAGATACAAAAAAAATTAAACTCTCTAATTAACTTGTTATTTCAAGAGTACTCTTTACAAAAAAAAAAAAAAAAGAGTACGTAGCAAATAAATGACAATAAGTTAAATCAACAGTTGAAAAATCCAATGAACCCGAGTTCAAGTCCATTCATTTTTAAAATTCACTCAAAATGAATATTCCACGCGTCAATGTTTACTATTTGCAATTAAATACTCAGTGCGTCGTATTTATTAAATTTCCATTTTCTTTATCGCTCTGAAACAAAAAAAAATGATTTAATTGTTTAAATAAAAAATAATATTGCACAATAAACGAATCCGATAATTTAATCTAATATATTTGTTAAAAAAAGGTCACCAAGTCATCTTTTATGTTATTTTTATCAAAGTGAAGACACTTTTAGATTGATTCAAGTTCAATTGACTTGATTTATACATACACATACTACATATTAGATACTATGTAGACTTATGACTCCCGCAATGATTCAATTATATTGAAAAGATTATTATTGCTATTTAAAGAGGATTCAAAATTGATAATAGTCCGAATTATTGACAATTATCAATTTGAAAAAACAAAAAAATTATTTTCATCCCTCTGACGGCTGAAGAATGTTTATTTATATTGTTATTATTATTGTTATTATTTGAATGTCAACTAGAAGTTATGATTGCGTGTAGACAAGAGCATAAGGAACAAAACGGAAAATATAACTAACAAGTATCGGTTGATAAGATAATTGAAGGCAATTGTCGAGACAATAAACGTACGAGTAGAGATCGCTTTCGCGTTGATTAGACCAAGGACCGGTAATCGCTTATGAAAGTCTTCCTCTTCCTATTGTATGTGTTCTGGTAATTTACATCCAACTAAATAAAATTTACTCATCTAATTATTTTTTTAACAGAGCTGCTGCACAAATACTATGTACCTGACACGAAAGAAGATCAGCACGAGATATTTGAAAGATTGTCCCAGTACTGCGGCAAGTCTGTTAAAAATTACTCCACAGGCGAACAAGATCCGCTCAAATGGGATTTTTACAACACTTTTTATTTTTCCTACACTGTCGTCAGTACAATTGGTTTGTATTTTTTATTTTTTTATTATTTCTATTGTTAGCTTTATCAGTAATTTGTTCTAATGAAGTAAAATTAATGTATATAGAAGATTTATTCACGCAGTTAAAGTGTGCGTTACTTCATTTATTGATAGTACGATAATTAGCCAGCTATCAGTTCCGTTTTATTGAGTTTATGATTAATAGTTTTATCATTTATTCACTTTATGAGCATAAGTTGTTTTTAAAATTGATTTTTCGGAGAAATATTTTCAACAAGGTTGATCGGAGGCCTCGAATAAATTTTTGATTTTTTTTTTAAAGCTGGTCAATGATAATTCTATTAAACTATTCTTATTCATTGTTTCAATATTTATTGTTATTTTATAGTTAATACTTTGATTTGAAAAAAAAATTTTTATTTGTTTAAAAATTATTATAATAATTTGATATAACAAATAAATTTTAATATTTAATAAAAATTGTATCAATATTCTTTTTCAATTTTTATAAGAAGTATTTTTTGATAAATTTTCTATATAATAATTTATTTATTAAAAAATCATAAAAATTTAATTTAAATAATTATTTTATTTAAAATCTAATTTTTGGAATAAACTATAATTAATATTTACAAATTTAAACTTGAGATTAATTTTTTGAAAATTTTTTTATTAATTTGACACTTAAAACTTTTTTAAGTTAAATAACTTTATTTTTATCCACATTAATTTTTTATAATTTTATATACTTTATAAATATCATAAATATGAAATATATAAAAAAAAATCATGTGGGTACTCAAATGAAAGGTCTCGATTAGTGGAACATCAAGATGAGCTTATATCTTCAATAACATCATTAGGTGACAAGATACAACTTCATTTCTTAATTATTGATATTTTTAAAGATGTAAGCTCATCCCGATGTTACACTCATCAAGACGTTTCATTTGAGTACCCACATCAATTTTTCATATATTTTTATATATTTTTCATATATATGTATATATGAAAAATATATCAAAATGCATGTGGGTACTCAAATGAAAGCTCTTGATGAGAGTAACGTCGGGATGAGCTTATATCTTTAAAAATCTCAATAATTAAGAACTAACATTGCTATCTTGTCAACTAATGATATTTTTAAAGATATAAGCTCACCCTGATATTACACTCATCAAGACCTTTCATTTGAGTACCCACATGCATTTTCATATATTTTTCATATATTCATATATATAAATATATAAAATATATGAAAAATTGATGAAGGTACTCAAATGAAAGCTCTTGATGAGTGTAATATCAGGGTGAGCTTATATCTTTAAAAATGTCAATAGTTAAGAAATTACCTTGTATCTTGTGAAGTATTGACATTTTTAAAGATATAAGCTCATCCTGATGTTACACTCATTGAAACCTTTCATTTGAGTACCCACATCAATTTTTTATATATTTATATATTTATTTTATATTATATATATGTATATATGAAAAATATATGAAAATGCATGTGGGTACCCAAATGAAAGCTCTTGATGAGTGTAACATCAGGATGAGCTTATATCTTAAAAAATGTCAATATTTAAAAAAGTACAGTGCAATTTAACAAAGAAAAAAAAATTACCTTTTATAATTGTAAAAAAAATTTCAGGCTATGGAAACTTGGCACCAACAAAGCTATCAAGTCGTATCGTGATGATATTCTACGCTATAATTGGAATCCCGATAAACGGAATCCTTCTGGCAAACCTGGGAGACTTTTTTTCCAGCGTCTTCATAAAAGCGCACCGCAACTACAAATCTTACAAAGAAGACGACTGCCAGAAGAAGCCCAAAGAAACGAAGAAATTCACTTTTTTCTTCCAAATCCTCATGTACCTCGTTCCCGGTATCGTCGTATTTATATTCTTCCCAGCATTTATATTTTCGTACGTCGAAGAGTGGACCTACGATCAATCAGTCTACTACGCGTTTGTCACCCTGACGACCATTGGGTTCGGCGATTTAGTAGCAGGTACCTAAAAAATATAAATCAAATAATTAATTTAAATTAAGTTAAATTAAATTATACGTATCTTTAAATATCTAAATCTATTATATATATATATATCTTGTCTTAAAATTCCGTGAATCATTTAATTGTTCTTACTGAATCTGAATTCATTTATTTATGCTTGCGCTGAAAAATAAAAAGAGGACACGAGGTAAGTGTAAGTAATAGAAATAAAGTACAGTTTAGAGTTTAGAGTACTAGAGGAACTCACCATCACTAAGTCGCTTAGCACAGCATGAGCATGAGCTATTTGTATTCGTGTCAACCGTATTATATTATATTATATGAATCACACAGTATAAATGGTCATGATTGCAACTCTCAACAATAATAAATGTAACGCTGCAATAATCCACCTTATTACATACATCATTTCTCACTGTTACAATAAATTTATTATTTAAGTGTAACAGCAACCATAAATAAATAAATTCATAAATTTACCTATAAAATTTTTATTGTGTCCAGTGTCTATGTAGGCGTTTAATTTTTTTGTGACCGCGTCAAGCAACTTTTAACATGTTGAATTTATTTTAAAAATTTTAAGAAATTATTTACTAAAAAATAAAAAAATTATTAATTTTTTTGAAGTAATTTTATTGCATTAATAATTATGACAGAATTTTTTAAAATTTTGATAATTTTTGACTCAGCTTTAAAAATGATCCAGAAAATATTTATGGTAAAAAAATTAATACATTTGATTTTAATAAAATTAATGATAGTTATTTTTTGGATGATTCTCAGGTCGAGTTTAAAGACGAGCCAATTCGGTCAATTATTTTAAAAATTAAAAAATAAATTTGCAATTGATAATTTTTAAAAAATCACTTTATCGGTTGTTTTTTAAATAAATTTTTAATACAATAATTTATCTAAATTATTAATAATATAATTGTTATTCATACCTTTGAGTGCTAGTAGATGTAATTTATGTAATTATAATAATAATAATAATAAAAAAATATTTGTTGATTGATCAGGTCAAAACTCTCCTGACGGTAATTTTTTTGTCGGCACATACAAGGCATTTCTAATAATCTGGATTTCCTTCGGACTCGGGTACATTGTGATGATAATGACCTTCATAACACGGGGATTTAAGAGCAAGAAAATAACCCAGCTCGAGCACAAACTTGCTGTGAATATAAAGCATACGCAGAATAAGGTATTTAACCAGCTCACACGAGACATCAATTACCTCAGGAGAATATTTAACGAGTTACAGCTGTCTAAAGTCAAGGTAAACTCATTATTTATTAAATTTTTTACTCAACTATTTTAATCACTATTAAAATTACAATTACCCGTAATAACATCAACCACTTTGCAGTACAAATACCAAAAGGGCGCACAGCATAAATTTATTTTACTCTCAAAAAAAATATTATTTTAGTTTTTGAACATTTTGCTTTAGAAGTTCAAAGTTTTTTTTTAATACTATAAATTGTTGATTTTAATTGAATTTTTCATTAAATCTCAAAATTTTAGCCTTTTAAATAACTTTAATTCTCATAAGCAGAAAATTAAAATATTAACATGAAATTTTTAGAGTTTTTTTCTTACAACCAAAAGGGCATATATCAAAATAAAATGTAATTTTTCACTTTTTTATTAAATTGTTACATTATCAACATCCTTAAGGTCATTGTAAGAAAAAAAAATAATTTTTGCGCCCTTTAAGTATTTTTAACACCTATAAAAAGCAATCCACCCTCTAGAAATAGGTAATTATTTACGAGTGGGGTCACAATGCCATTTTGCCCTAAGTTTGGCCATAGAAATTTTTTTTTGTCAAATTGATCAATTTTTTTTTCAATTCTTCGTTTTTTTAAATAAAAATAGAAATTTTATCCAAAAACATTCAAGCCAATATTTTTTCCAATTTTTAAAGGCAAAAAAGCTCTCAAAATCTTTATTTTTTTTCTTCCACGACATTTTATCATAAATGCGCCGTAAAAAAGAGCATAGTAAAAAAAAAAATTTTAAATTGAGCTGACCCACACTGATAAAAAAATTAACTTTACCTAAAAGCCAAAACCCTAAACCAAGAATACCATTTTGAAGAAATTATTCTTGATTAAAGTAAATTTTTTTTATCTCAAGAATTCATTCTCTTGACTCAAGAAAATTATTTTCTTCAAAATGGCATTCTTAGTTCAAGATTTTGGCTCTTGAGTCATTAATTTATTTATCAGTGCACTTGTAAATAAAATAATTTCCTAGAAAAAACTTTCACAACTAACAAATCTCTTAATTTACAGAGAATCTACGTCGACGACGAGTACGACTTGCCACCAGCAACCTTAACGCGCAGCAACAGTTTCCCGGACTTACGCCAACTAGTATACGGCGGTCTGGAGCCATTTGTCCCACCTCACCCGCGGCGCCGAGCAAACAGCGAAGTAGTCCCCATGGAAGTCTTGGTCCCGCGAGTGGTATCCGAAACAGATCTCCAAAGAATCGACAAGAACGCGACATTCGCGACCCACGCGATGGTCCAGCCTGCCGAGATGCTCGCCCGACTAGTCAACATCCTAGGATACATTCCTCCTCCCCCAGACGACGACGAGCAAGTAGACATGGACCCACGAGGGGTCCAAGGCTTCAGCGACAAAGAGATCCTCTCAGGCGAGCGGGGACCCGAGCCTAGCTGGCAGGTCGGCGGCGACCGAATTCCCTGGAGCAGAAAACCCAGATCCCGAGCCACCAGCGAGGTCCGACTCGACCCGTCCTACAATCCCGAACATTCAAACCAAGAGTGGACCTGGTCCGGGCCCGCGGCTTCCCGGAAGATTCAGGAATTGATGCGCGCCCGTAAAAATGGCCAATCCAAAGACAGAGAGCGAGATAAAGAGTGCAAATCCCTCTTTCCTCTTAATTTACCCAAGAGTGTCCCACTTCCTCGGTGGATAAAGCAGCTGTCTACTAAAAAAGACGCCCGGACCAGAAACTCCGTCTCAGTCGGCGACCTGGACAGCAACGACGACGATTATCTGACCAACGCGACCGGCTACACCGACAGGTCGACTTATTTCACCCACACAGGAGCCGCGAATTTGTCTTCGACTCTAGAAGGCAGCAGTTTGCTCGAAGAAACGACTCTAGCCGACTTTATCCGAGCTCTAACCGCGCTTCACTCTCAAGTCGGCGCGGTTCCAGACGAATTCATGAAAAAACCTCAAAGAAAAATGGGAACTGCTTCTTTAACACCTCCGAAGCTCCCGAGCCTCTTTACTCTCTTCGCTCCTCCCGAATCTACTTCCTCCGTGCCTCAGAGCAACCAAAACACGGTAACAGGAGCCGCCTCAAGGAGATTTTCCCTCAGAACAGAGAATTCTACATCCCCAATTTACCAGCGCAAGAACAGTCTAGCGGTCAAACCAAGGAACAGAAGGTTCTCGCTAAGACCAGTAGTTACTCCTCAAGCTTCACCTTATTTATCGAACTTAAGAAAAGATTCTTCAAGCCCGCCTCCGGCTTACAGCGCGAATTTGCCCTTCGAAGGCTCTAAGGAACCTCTGGTGTCTCTAGAAAGCGCTCCGGGAGTTTCTTCCCCGGTTCATTCTCAAAGAATGTCCTTGAGGAACGGATCTTCTGTGGAGCCTCCGGCTAAGGGACTGTCTTCTAGATGGCGCCAGGAGATTCTTCAAAGGCAGCTCAATAGGCGGGTACGCGCTTTTAGTTTGAGCGATGTTAATACAGATGGCGCGCAAGGTAATGGGAATTCTAATGATAGGGGTAATTCTATTAGCCCCCTGGCGCTGGATCCCGCGGTTAGAACTACTACTTTTGGGGCCAGAGATCCGGGGAACAAGTTCTCGGTTCAGAAGACTGTGACCATTGTTTCGCCTAATCAGGGGCAGGTTGGGCAGAAAACTAGTGAGGCTAAACAGCGAAGGCCGTTTTTAAGAGCGCTTTCCGCTTTGAATAATCCTTTTGCGGGGAATAGTACAGAGAATAAGACTACTTACACGAATCCTTTTGTTATTGACCTTGATAGTCCGGAATTGGGAGGTGGTGATGCTTTGAGTAGCAGAAATGTTTCACAGGGATTGATGGAGGTTAGGAATATTAAAACTGTTCCGCTGACTAGGGATTTTAAGAAGGGATTTAAAGGTAGTGATCCTGTGGTTGTTTTAGTTCCTGATGATAATAATGGTGATAAAATGCGAGATAGTAGTAGTAAAAGTTGTATTTATGATGAAGGGAAGATTAAAATGGATGTTGAGAAGGATATTGATAGGAAAGAGGTGCCAGAAAGAATAGATGCCGTAAAAATGGAAGCTGGGTTGGGTAATATTAATACGATTGGAAATTGGAGTGATGTAAGGAGGAAAGTGTCGACAGTATCGGAGTGCAGTTCAAGAGAGTCTTCCTATGAAGGCAGAAAAAATTCTGACAAGCCGAGAGTCTCGGTTGATAGTTATAAGCCGCTGGTTGACGATAAGATTGATAGACCTGCGGAAGATCCTTTTTTGAGATACAGCAGAGCTTCCAGACAGAAAGAATCGGAACCTTCCGGTTCCGATTCGGGGAACATTAAAATACCGACTGGACTTGGTGATAGTCCTCGTGAATCTTCAACTTAATTTAGAACTGATTATTTTTAAGATTTTGATACGGATTGAGATAAGTTATATATATATATATATATATATATATCTGAGTCGAACAAAATACTGTGATAATGTTGTATTAATTAGGTGTTAAAATTGTTGTATATAATATTGTAGTTTATTTAATTTTAAATTATTTGATTGACATGAAGGTGATTTGAGTGTCATTTGTGAATATGGTAACTGAATTTTTAGTTTTTTTTTGTAATTTGGATAACTGTATTTTTTTTTGTAGTGTTAGTTTTTTTGAAAAAATTTAAAGAATGTAAGTGACTGTGTTTTGAATGGGCCGACCAAATTGTATGTCCAGTTAAAACTGATAATTGTAATAGACTTAATTCCAATCAAAATATTTTATTAAGTTAGGATAAGTTTTATGACGAAAATATTCATTGTTTTATTTATGATGATTTCTTATTGAAATAAATTATGTTAGTAATATGTTGTTAATGCGACTTTTAATTAAAATGACGATTGCCTTCTCACCAATAGTCAATTTATGATAAGTATTTAGGCTGGATTCAGAAATGACCTTGTATCTTGTGAACTATTGATATTTTTAAAGATATAAGCTCATCCTGACATTATACTCATCAAGACCTTTCATTTGAGTACCCATATCAATTTTTCATATATTTTATATATTTATATATCTATAAATATATGTATGTATATATATATGTATGTATGAAAAATATATGAAAATGCATGTGGGTACTCAAATGAAAGCTCTTGATGAGTATAACATCACGATGAGCTTATATCTTTAAAAACGTCAATATTTAAGAAAGTACAGTGTAATTTAACAAAAGTCATTATTCAATAAAGCAAAATTTTATTTATTTATAGTTCACAAGTCCCGGCAGACATATAGTGACTGTAAGGTTGCTAGTTCTATTTATTGTTAAAATTATTAAAAATTAACTGATAGATAAATAATAAAAAATAAATTTGAACTAAAATAAGTCGACAACGAAAAATTTATTTCAGATATTCATAGCAACTTTTTATTAAAAAAAGTTTTAAAAAATAAATTACGTTAGTAATAAATTGTCTATGTCCCTCACAATCCAAGTTCCAATTGATTTTATCATTACAAATGATTTTTATTTAAATAATAAAAAAATGCAAAAGCTTTTGTAGAAAAATAAGCTCGCTAGATTACACCTGAAGGGACTTTTTTATTTCTTCAACCAGATTTGCACGAGAAACTGAGCGTTCTGCTCGAGTTCCAACTTCTCGGAGAGTAACTTCTCCGCGGGCAAGTTCTTTAGCGCCAATAATGATGACCAAGGGTATACCTTTCTCCTCGCAGTGTTGAAGTTGATCCAAGAGCTTGGGGCTCTTTTTGTAAGAGTGCACAGATTTAATTCCTGCGGCCCAGAGATCTGCAAGAACACGCATTCGTTCTTCGTGCAAGTTTTTTTGGGCTGTCGCAACGAACACCTCGATCTCATTGGTGCGTACTTTTTGGCCTTGCTCGGCCAGGCGGTTTTCCAAGACACTGAAGATTCGCTCGACTCCCAGAGATACTCCAACGCAGGGTACCGTTTTCTTTTTTGGGTCGAACATTCCAACGAGGTTGTCGTAGCGGCCGCCACCTGCTACGCTTCCTACTTCGCTGTCTGTAAAAAAAAAGGTATAAAGTTCAAGGCTACATGTCATTCTCACCGATAGTCAATTTATTATGATAAGTATTTAGGCTGCATTCAAAAATGCTCTATCTCTAGATACATATTTAAGAAATTACCTTGTATCTCATTAACTATTAACAATTTTAAAGATATAAGCTCATCCCGATGCTATACTCATCAAGAGCTTTCATTTGAGTACCCACATCAACTTTTCATATATTTATATATATTATATATATGTATATATGAAAAATATATCAAAAATGCATGTGGATACTCAAATGAAAGCTCTTTATGAGTGTAACATCAGGATGAGCTTATATCTTCAAATATATCAATAATGAAGAACTGACATTGCTATCTTGTTAACTAATGATATTTTTAAAGATATAAACTCATCTCAATATTACACTCATCAAAACCTTTCATTTGAGGACCCACATCAATTTTTCATATATTTTGTATATTGATATATGTGTATATATGAAAAATATATCAAAATGCATGTGGGTACTCAAATGAAAGGTCTCGATGAGTGTAATGTCAGGATGAGCTTATATCTCTAAGAATATCAACAATGAAGAAATGATCTTGTATCTTGTGAACTATAGACATTTTTAATGATATAAGCTCACCCTGACATCACACTCATTGAGACCTTTCATTTGAGTACCCACATCGATTTTTCATATATTTTATATATTTATATATATATTATATGTATGTATATATGAAAAATATATGAAAAAGCATGTGGGTACTTAAATGAAAGGTCTCGATGAGTGTAATGTCAGGATGAGCTTATATCTTTAAAAACGTCAATAATTAAGAACTGGCATTGCTATCTTGTCAACTAATGATATTTTTAAAGATATAAGATCACTCTGAGATTATACTCATCGAGACCTTTCATTTGAGTACCCACATCAATTTTTCATATATTTATATATATATATTACATATATGTACATATGAGAAATATATCAAAATGCATGTGGGTACTCAAATGAAAGCTCTTGATGAGTGTAACATCAGGATGAGCTTATATCTTTAAAAACGTCAATATTCAAGAAAGTACAGTGCAGCTTAACAAAAGTCATTTAATAAAGCACAATTTTAATTTTTTATAGTTCACAAGTAGCAGCAGTCACATAGTTACTGCAAGATTGCTATTTAAAATTAATTAAATTTAAAACAATATAGATAAGCATACCAGTCAAAACAGCTTCGTAAATGACTCCAGTATAATAATCTAACCCACGTGCTAAGCTCAAGTCAAAGACAACTTTGTCAGTGACTTTAAACAGATCGCAGTACTTGAGCAGCAGCTCCATAGCGTCTAGGCCCTGTTTAGCAGCAGGTTGCTTCATCAAAAGCTCATTCTGCCTCAGCTCTTCAATGAGCTTAACGTCTCCGTGCTTAGAAACGTAGCCACCAATTTTGTCGGCAATAGAGGGGTCCAGTTGCTTCTCATCAATCATCTCTTTGCGGACTTCCTCCCACGGGCTCTTATCAAGCTTGTCGACTGACGAGCATATCGTGCGGAATTTATCATCAGGAACCCCGCAAGCTGCAAAGATACCATCCAAAAGACAGCGATGGTTCACTTTTATGACAAAAGCACCAATGTCCAAGGCCGTGAGTGCTTCAGAGACTATTCTCACGCACTCGGCGTCTGGTAACATTGCGTCAAATTCACCAGCAATGTCGAAATCACACTGATAAAACTCCCGATAACGGCCTCTGGTCATCGCTGGATTGTCTCGGCGATAAACTTTTGCGATGTGGTATCTCTTTATGTTCGATATTTTACTCATCGCTAAATAACGGGCAAACGGTACGGTTAGATCATATCTCAAGGCTAGAATTTCTCCGCCTTGATCTTTTAAATCGTAGATTAATTTCGAATCTTCGCCGTATTTTCCGGTTAAAACTTCCTGAAACAAATTTTTTTTTATTTATTTAAAGAATTATACGCACTAGGAATTTTTTTTAAAATTGATTTTTTTTTTTTTTGGAACAAAAATCATTTTTTCAACCTTCCAAGTGTGTTTTAATTATTCTACGATAATTTACTAACAAACTTTTTCTATTTAAAAAAAATTTAATTGAATTGATATAAAAAAAAAATATTCATGAGGAATTTTTTAAATTATTAATTACAGAATATAATTTATTTTAAAAAATTGAAAAAAAATTTTTTTAAAAAGGTTTTTAGAATAAAAAAAAAAAAAAAAAAAAAAATTGTAACGCATGAAAAAAGCAACGCTCTAGTTTATTTTTCTAGAACCTTTCACTATTGAACTGTTACTTTAAAGGAAGACAATCGAACGGCCTTAACAAATCACTTTCTACAAAACTATTTATGACAGTGCATACATTTCAATTTCAATATAAACTAGCAACTTAAAGTCACTATGTAACTGCCGAGAATTGTAAATTATATTATGAATAAATAAAATAATAACTTTTGCTAAATTGCACTGTACTTTCTTAAATATTGACGTTTTTGAAGATTTAAGCTCATCCCGATGTTGCAATCATCAAGAGCTTTCATTTGAGTACCCACATGCATTTTTGATATATTTTTCATATATACATATATATAATATATATAAATATATGAAAAATGGATGTGGGTACTCAAATGAAAGGTCTTGATGAGTGTAACATCGGGATGAGCTTATATCTTTAAAAATATCAATAGTTGACAAGATAGCAATGTCAGTTCTTAATTATCGACATTTTTAAAGATATAAGCTCATCCCGATGTTACACTTATCAAGAGCTTTCATTTAAGTACCCACATGCATTTTTGATATATTTTTCATATATACATATATATATAATATATATAAATATATGAAAAATAGATGTGGGTACTCAAATAAAAGGTCTTGATGAGTATAACATCGGGATGAGCTTATATCCTTAAAAATATCAATAGTTCACAAGATAAAAGGACATTTCTTAATTATGTATCTAGAAGTAGAGGATTTTTGAATCCAGCTCAAATACTCATCATAATAAATTGACTATCAGTGAGAATGAAATGAAACCCTGAAAAGGCACAAATTCAAGTGAAGACCTTTACAATGACACTAAATTTCACCAAAAAAACCGATTTTATCATATGACTATCCAGGAGACGAAATTGTTCTTATTTTCTTAATAATATAGATTATGAATAAGCTATCAAAAATACCCTTTTTTAATAAAAAAAATTAATAAATAAAATACTGAAATTAACAGACATCTAAATTTTTTTTTCAGATTTTTACAATAATTAAATTATTATAAAAAAAATCTACAACTAATTTTTAAAAAACAATTACTGGTGCAAATTTTTAAAAATAGTTTTTTTGCAATTGATTTGTTATAAAAATTTCCAGATGTCTGCTGATTCAGTATCATAAAAAAAAACCATACTTTTAGTTCAAACACCGGAGTATCAATAGTCTCAGCACCATGACGTTTGAATACGTCAACAATTTTATCTAAGACACCCAGACGAAGCGCCATTTGCTCTGGATTATAGTCCCTGGTGCCCTTAGGCGTCTTGAGGACGAATTTCTGGGGTCCAGCATCGGCATCTCCAAGCTTTGCTTTCAGCTCCAGCAATTTAGCGACTTCCTCATTGATCTAAACAGCAAAAAAAAATAATTACATTAATAATTAGTAGATATTATCTAGAAAAATAATCCAATGCGCCTACCTGTTCCGCGGTAACAGAGTAGAGACATTTATGAGCAGTATTGATGAGGTTCGACATATATTTAAACCGTAGCATGGTGCCCAGGTGATAAACAAACCAGAATCAAAGACAAAAGATCCACTTGAGTTGATTTAACTTAAACTGACAGTACAATTTTTATTAATGACACTGTTACAGATTTATCCAAATCAATTTTTTAAAAATTATTTAATTAGAAGAGTGTTCTCAACAATACATTGATTTTGATAAATTTATGACAGTGTCATTGGATTACTGTCTCACCTTTTTTTCAATTTCTAGACAAGTGTCTTCTGAGCAAATATTAAGGACTAGCTTTACCAAAGGATTGTGATTGTTGTTATTATTGTCATTAATTACAGGAAATTTTGAGCATTCAGTTGTTGAATAACTTTTAATGTTTAAAAACCAACGTTTAATATGCAGCCAACGATCAAGATTATCGGTAATTGATGATTTACATTTATTTAATAACTTTATGTCGAGATTACAAGGACACCAGCCACCAACGAAACTTACTCTTGATAATTCGGAATTGATTTCATTCAAAGTTGAATTAAAATTTTTTTTCTTCAAATCCTGACAGAAATTTATGAGAAAATTAATAATAATAAAGTTAGCCGACGTTTTTAATTTTTTAATAATTAAATTAGCTTTAAAAGTTATGATAAATTTAGCAGATATTTAATAATTTTTTTTAAATAAATTATGCAAAAAAAATATAAAAAAAAATTGACGTAGAAATTAAAAATTCAGTGTTTTAAAAATAATTTTTTTTATTATAAAATTTCTAAGTGACTGCTAATTTTAAATAATTTTTTAAAAATTTCAACTTGTAATTTTTTTATTTTTTTAATTGATAAAATATTTTTAAAAAAATAAACTTAAAAGTTAAAAAAATTTTCTAAATGTCAAATTTTTTTTTAATATAAAATTTAAAAAATTTTCAATGAGCTAATTTTATTTTCACAATTTTTTAATAAAATTCTTTGATAATAATTATTATAAAATTCTAAAAAATTAACAAATGATTGATTTTATTATTATTACTAAAGAATTTTTTTAAATAGTACAAAATTTTTACTCTAAAAAATTTTTGAAATTTTCTACAAGTAATATTTTTTTTTAATTTTTTTTAAATAAAAAAATAAAATTAAACTTTGTAAGGTTAAGTTATTTCGTGTAATTAATTGTACATGAAAGAAATTTGTTAATCTAGAAAAAAGTGATATTTCAAGAATATAAAAATAATTGTTATTATTATGAAATAGAGAAGCAAGATGCCATATGTTGTTACTAAAGCATGAAAATTAATAAAAGTAAATAAATTACCTGGGCACTGTCAGCTTTAGCGGATTTTAATTTTCTAACAAGATCACCCTGCTGCTTGATCTGATCCTGCAAGAGCACGCGGGTTTCGTCATCCATAATGAGGACCATGTGGTTTGCCGAAGGTATTAATCTATTAAACTGATGTCATGCCAACAAAAGTACCTCTAGTAATAATAGTAACAGCGTTTGATTTATTTTAATATAAAATGGCAAGATGCTTTAAGTTTCAGTGAGAGCATGATGATAGGACATATGCTGCCATCTAGCAATTCAATGTGAGTGTACATTTGGGAGTTTTTTTTTATCATTATGTGGTAGTAAAGGTACGCAATTGTAAAAATTATTTAATAATATATAATAATCTTAAGAATTTTTATGACAAATAAATTATTGGAAAAAAATTGACTTATGGAAATTTTTAAAAATTAAAAATACAATTTTTTAATAATATTTTTTGGAACAAATTTGTTAAAAAAAAAAATTATCAAGTGACACTGCTAACTTTAATGTCATTTGTTTTTAAATAAAAACATGAAAAAAATTATGTCAAAGTGGTAATTGTTAGTGAAACAAAGTTATTATTATTATTTTTTTTTTAAATTTATGATTGTTATAAATGATACTGAAGTTAACTGACAGCTGTCAATTTTTTTAAATTCTTATAACAAATCAATTACAATACTTAAATTTTATTATTTCTATTTGTAATTATTTTTAAAAATTTAGCAGTCACTAAAGAATTTTTTAATTTTTTTTAACAAAAAAATTTGCTCCAAAAAATTATTTTTAAAAAATTGCATTTTTAATTTTTCAAAATTTCTAAATGTCAATTTTTTTATATTTTTTTTTGCCATAATTTATTTGTTAAAAAAAATTATTAAATATCTGCTAAATTTATCATTATAAAAATATTCATTAAAAGTTAGTTTGAATCATAAATGCAACTTTAACAGAAATTTGAATATCTCCTTTCAGCCAATCAGCGCCTCGAACGTTACCGCGCACAAGCTACTGCGCGTCTCGGGAATTACAGCCGCCATTTTCTATTCACCCGGGATAAAAAGGAGGGAAAAGATGTAACGGTCATAGCTTCGCGGAATTTGTTGACAAATAAAGTTTTAACGGCGTTTTGATGATTAATTTCGGTCTAAATAATATTTTTAGCAGCTAAATAATTATATTTTCTATAAATTAGTAGGAAAATCTCTATTAAACAATAAATATTAGGTAAATTAGTTGGTAGAAATTAGAGAGTTGATGATACTGTTTGATGCCGGCTCATCAAACTCGTCGCTGTTTCGAATTTGTTTCAAATAAATTAGGATACTTCAAGATTTCCCAATTGGATTACATCAAGAACCTATTATAGATAAATCAAGAATTTAAAATCTGTTTTTGTTGAGTAGTTATTTATTATTATTGAGGTTAGTGAATAAGTAAGTTGATAGTGGTGTAGATTGTTGGTGTCAGTTGATAAGTTTTTGATTCTTTTGTCAAGTTTTTATAATTCTGAAAGTAGCAGACATCTGACAGTTTTTTAATAAATAAATATTTAATGACATTTAAATCAGCAGACATTATACACTTGATAATTTTTCAGGTTTATTTAAATAATTAACTAGGTCTAAAAAAAATTTTTTTTAAATTGCACTCATAATTTTTTTTGAAGCTTGTACAGATAAAATATTTCTAAATAAATATTTCTTGCTATAATTTATTTATTAATATCGTTATAATTAAAAATTGGACAGATGTCTGATGATTTCAGGTTCATTAGGTTGATGTTAGATTTATAATTAGTAGTAAGTACCAAGTGTGTAAAGTGAAAAGTGCCCATTAAATATAGTTAGGATACATCAAGCTGGGATTACTTCAAGATTTTTCAATTAAATTACATCAAGCGCTGAAAAGTTTGTCGAGCCGAATCTTCAAGGTGACTAAAATATATATTAGAAGATATATCTAAGTAATATATATAAAAGAAAAATTATTTTAAATGGTTATTTATATTTTTTATGTTTTAGGCTTGCAAGGAGATACTGAGTGGTGAGTCGACTTGGAACTTCATTTTTTTTTTTAGATTGTTTATCAATGTTACAGAAATTCGAATTTTTCTGACTTTGAATATTGACATTTTTAAAGATATAAGCTCATACTGATGTTACACTCATCAAGACCTTTTATTTGAGTACCCACATGCATTTTTGATATATTTTTTATATATACATATATATAAATATATGAAATATATGAAAAATTGATGTAGGTATTCAAATGAAAAGTCTTGATGAGTGTAACATCGGGATGAACTTATATCTTAAAAAATGCCAATAGTTCACAAAATACAAAGTAATTTCTTAATTATTGATATTTTTAAAGATATAAGCTCATCCTAAAGTTACACTCATCAAGACCTTTCATTTGAGTACCCACATTATTTTTTCATATATTTTGTATATTTATATATATTATACATATTTATTTATGAAAAATATATCAAAAATGCATGTGGGTACTCAAATGAAAGCTCTTAATGAGTGTAACATCAGAATGAGCTTATATCTTAAAATATGCTAATGGTTCACAAGATACAGGGTAATTTCTTAATTATTCATATTTTTAAAGATATAAGCTCATCCTGATGTTACACTCATTAAGAGCTTTCATTTGAGTACCCACATGCATTTTTGATATATTTCTCATATATACATATATATAATATATATAAATAGATAAAATATATGAAAAATTGATGTGGGTATTCAAATAAAAAGTCTTGATGAATGTAACATCGGAATGAACTTATATCTAAATAAAAAAGAAAAGTCGATACTTATTTATTACTTTAATAAAAAAATTATCAACCTAGAAACAACGACCCGAGTTAATTCAAATAATATTTTTAGTTGAATAATACGTATACTAATTTCGAGTATAAAATAATTTTTTATGGTTCAATGTCTGATTAGCGTCTGGTCATACAAGAAAATACATAATTAAAACCGGATAATTAAATGAATATACCGACAATTTTAATACGAATTAATTCACGATAAATTATAAATTTGGTGATTTAATTTATATAACTGTAACATGTATATAATATAGATTATAAATTAAACTTCAGTTAAATTAAATATCAAGCCACGAGTTATATATTTCATCATAATAATGATTATTAAACATAAATATACATGTATAATTTAATATAATTTAATTGAAAATGAAAAATTATCATTCTTTATGCAATAATTAAATATTTATTCATATCAACTCAATTAAAACTCAATTTCAAATTCAACTAAAATTATATTACATATTAAACGTCCACGTCGTAATCACCATCAGTTACCGCTTTATTAATTTAATGTATCAAAATTAAATATTTATACAGCTTTCATCTTAATTAAATTTAAACTTTCATAATAAGAGGGTCATCATACAAAAAAAGATTTTATTATTGAATTTGTCGATTATAAATATTATATTATGAATAACATTAATTAGCAAAATTAAATAATTAATTATATTGAGCTACAATAATGATAATAGGGATAAGAATGAAAAAGTTTAGACAAAGTAGTGAAAACTGGATGGTGTTAAGACGGCTGACAGTTGTATAAGGATAAAGCTGCTAGCGTTGAGTGCTTTTATTTGTCGCCAGCTTGACTATTATTCTTAAAATACAGATATACTAAGTGTGGTTATTTTTTTTTTCTTTCAGTTCGAAAATAAATTTTTTTTCAGCCTTTCCATTATATTTAAAATCAATTTGTTATTTTCATTCTACAAGCTTATTGTGTACTTTATATGGATTAAATTTAATTAAAAAATCCGTTTTATAAAATTAAAATAAAACCTTAGTTATGTAATTAAATTCCGGAGTATTTAGGTAATATTTATGTTGTTTTTTTATCGTGGCTTGATTTTTTAGTGATGATTCAAGTCCTAAATAATTTATTTCGTGTTCTTTATGTCTAAGGAGCTAAAAAAAAAAAGTTTAAAGACTAGTAATTTTTTAATCAGGAGAAAAATTTTGCTAAAATCATTTTAAGAAGACTAGCAACCTTGTAGTCACTATGTAACTGCCGTGACTTGTGAACTATAAATAAATAGAATTTTTCTTTATTAAATAATGACTTTTGTTAAATTGCATTATACTTCCTTAACTATTGACATTTTTAAAGATATAAGCTCATCCCGAGGTTACACTCATCAAGATCTTTCATTTGAGTACCCACATCAATTTTTCATATATTTATATATATTATATATATATATGTATATATGGAAAATATACCAAAAATGCATGTGGGTACTTGAATGAAAGCTCTTGATGAGTGTAACGTCGGGATGAGTTTATATCTTTAAAAATATCGTTAGTTGACAAGATACAAGATAATTTTTTAATTATTGATATGTGGGTACTTGAATGAAAGCTCTTGATGAGTGTAACGTCGGGATGAGTTTATATCTTTAAAAATATCGTTAGTTGACAAGATACAAGATAATTTTTTAATTATTGATATTTTTAAAGATATAAGCTCATCTCGACGTTACACTCATCAAGAGCTTTCATTTGAGTACCCACATGCATTTTGATATATTTTTCATATATACATATACATAATATATATAAATATATGAAAAATTGATGTGGGTACTCAAATGAAAGGTCTTGATGAGTGTAACATCGGGATGAGCTTATATCTTTAAAAATGTCAATAGTGCACAAGATACAAGGTCACTTCTTAATTATTGATATTTTTAAAGGTATAAGCTCATCCTGATTTTATACTTATCAAGAGCTTTCATTGGAGTACCCACATGTATTTTTGATATATTTTTCATATATACATATATATAATATACATAAATATATAAATATATGAAAAATTGATGTGGGTATTCAAATGAAAGATCTTAATGAGTGTAACATCGGGATGAGCTTATATCTTCAAAAATGTCAATGTTTCACAAGATACAAAGTAATTTTTTAATTATGTATCTTGAGATAGAGCTTTTTCAAATGCTGCTTAAATACTTCTCATCGTAAATTGACTATCGGTGAGAATGATATGAAATCTTGAAAAGGTAAAATTTCAAATCAAGACCTTTACAATGACACTAAATTTCACCAAAAAAACCGATTTCATCATATGACTATCCTGGACACAAAATTTTTTTTATTCTCTTAATAATATAGACTTCTCTCAAATAAAGTATTTTTTTTTGTCTCAGTGTGCGTTCAACGTACAGTTTATATCTCGATTCGTTGGTGGAAAAATTAATTCTTCTTGTTTAAATGTAAGATTCAGAGGAATCTAATCGCCTGGGGCTGTCCAGGGAGCTCTAATGCAATCTATCCTGAAGTTGAGCCCAAGAGATTCCCACGGGACGTTCTCTTAGTGATCCATGGCTTAACTTCACCGTTAGTTTTCCGACAAGAACATTTGCCAAAGTACCAAGTATATACTAGCACTAGTTTCCCAGCCCAACTGCTAAATACCATACCCAATACCTGCTAGGAAGAAAGAGAGAGATAGGAACAGAAAGTATAACATTTGCATCACTGCTAATTTCGATCGCTCCGGGACTGAGTACATATTTGACACAAGACTCAAAGTTGGAAAGGTTTTTGCAGCCTTCACCAATACCATTAGTCATTTGTTTGATTTGTTGCTTCCTTGATGCAATGGATGATGAGAAATAGATTTTTCCGGTTAGCTCGAAAAGGAAATTTATTGCCAGCGCAGGATGTTGTCACTTTTAAACTCTTTTTATGTCTGTCGCAAGTCGCGGTCTAGTTTTATTGGTTGCTTTTTTTTTTAGTGTCTCTTGAGAAATGGAGTAAAGCAAATTACCGTATTGCAAACAAATATTGGCAGGCTGAGACACCTGCTAGCTCGTAAAATTCTCGCAATAGAGAGAGTTTGCAAGCGATATCCGTTCGAGGAAACTACTTAGATGGATTTTTCATCTCGTTTTATTTGGTTTGCTGGATTTGTAAATACTTGGATAAAAAAATGTCAATCGTTTATAAATTTATCAGTTTATTATGAGATTGGTTGTTAATTTTTTATCAAATTTAGATTTTTTGATGGATAATTTTTTCTGAAAAAAATTTTTTGTAAAAATTTTAGATTGATCCATTTAATTATTACTTTAGAAAAAAATTTGTGAGAAAAAAAATAATTTATTTCCACAGAAAAAAAGGTTCACTTGAGCCAAGAAAATATTTTTCTTCCTAAGTCAAGAAATTTTTCTTTTTGTACAAAAATGAAATTAAAAAAAAATAAATTTTTAAAAAATTTTAATTGCGTATAACCACACTAAAAAAAAATTCTTGACTGAAGAGTAAATTTTTTTGGCTCAAAAAAAGATTACGAAAAATTAAAAATTTCTTGAATGAAGTCAAAATTCCTTGAGCCAAGAAAATTTTTTCTCTCTTCAAAATAACTTTCGTTTTGCTTAAAATTTTCTTGGCGCAATAAATTTTTTTTTTGTGTGCACTTGAATTATTATTTGAAAAAAAATTTCTCTTAATTTTTTTCATATTATTTATGATAAGTATTAAAATTAAAAAAATAAGATACCTAATTTATTATTCATAAAAGAGATTAAATGTTCTCATTATTGAAAATTTAGTATTTTTAAATTTTTAAACAAATTTTAACGAAGAGGTTCAAGTTAAGTCAAATAACGAATTGCTTAATACACTGTTTATTTAGTTATTTATAACCGTAATCTCTCTCATTGGTTTCGAAATAATCAATGATTTATTTCCAACTACTGAAAAGAATTAATTAAAAGTAAAACTGGTGACACACCAAGCAAATAATTAATTAACATTGTTTCATTTTGGGTTTTGTAACTCTGAAAAAATCATTTACACAGCAGCGACCAGTGAGTTCAGTTCAGTCCAGTAAAATATTATTTAAATTAACTTTTAAATTCTATAAAAATGAAGTCGCTATTGCCTTTGATTCTTGTAACTTTTATTCTGCAAGTAAGTTCAAAAATTTTTTTTTATTAATATTTAAGCAAAAAAACAATAGTGATAAATTAATAAAAGAAGATTTATCAGCTGGTTGATAATTAACCAATAAATGAATTTAAATTGAGGCATGCGTTGCTGCTCCAGAGGGTAATTCCGCAAAAAAAACTGATCGTATTTCGGAACTGAAGAATGATAAACTCATTATGGCAATTAACAAGTTCCTCAAAAGCTTGGACCTCGAGCAAATTTTCCGAGAGTTCTTCAGCCTGAATCAAGGTCAAATTTTGATTAAATTAAATCAGATTAGAAATGGGTTGAACATGAATGGAGACGATATCAATATGATGGTGAGCAAAATCGCAAGTGCTTTGGAGACCTACACGATTAAAGACTTGGCAAATCTCAACGAGGCTGAAATCGTTTCGATAGTTGAAAAAATGGTCAATCGAATCCGATCTTACCAGGATATGATCTTCGGAAAAATTTTCGCTATAGCCGACGAGCTGGGAGTTGAGAAATCTAAGGCCTTCGAATGTGTTTCCAATTTGGTTGATATAATCAATATTTTGTCGGAACCCAACAAAGTGGAGGAGGTCGTGAAAAAATACAAGGATGAAATCATTGCGGTAATGAATAGATTTGTCGAAATTGTTCAGGTGTACGACTTAGAACCAATGGTTAAATCAATTCTTGACGTCATGAAGGAAGCATCTTCCAAAGAACGATTTTAATATCTTTGAGAAAAAATTTTGATAAAATATTGTTAATATTTGTCAGATTTATTTTGGAATTTTAATGTTAATAAAATTACAAATGTATTAAACTAAATATTGTTGAGGTTACTTAAATAAATATTTTACTGTTTTTGTTTTAGAGAGTGTAAGAATACTTGTTGATTCAAGAATTTAAAACTTTTTTTCTTAGCAAAGAGAAATTCTACATCTTCGATCAAAAAGTCATTATCTTCCGTCGATATTCAATTAAATTTTTCATCAAAAACCACAATTTTTTTTCACTAATTGTAAGAATTATTTTGTTTTCTTGTGAGAATTTTATATTTTTTATTCAAGAAAACATTTTTTAACTTCTCGCTAAGAAAATCAAAGATTATCGAAAATCAGGAGCTCGAAGAGCTCAAAAACATCATAAGTGCAATTTTAAGCGCCTAGGTATGGAATTAGCGGGAAGTTGCAGAGGTGGTCTTTAGGATCAACTGTTTTCCTAATTTTTTTTATAAAAAATACCAAAATAGATAGATAAGTAGATATATCTATTTATGCCAAAGCCTTAATTGGCCAGATGGCAAAGAAAAAAAGAAGGTTACATTATATAAATACAGTAGCGCTCAAAAGTATTTTGACAAATATATATTTAATGGTTTAATTAAAAATAAATATGAAGCACAATAATCATTTATTTATTTTTAACAGCTTTTGAATAATCTACAGAAAAGTATTTTGACATTGTTGAAATAAACTAACGCATAATTTTGTCACAATATTTTTGAACGCTATTGTATTTTACATATTGGAAACTTAATTTAACTATATTTTTGTAACTTAATTTATATTTTTGACAAAGTAAAAAAGAACAATATAATTTAACATTGCAGATTGAAGATAACTTAAAATTTAAGCAAAATTTTAGTTTGGTTACATAATTTTTGGTAATTTAACTGAATTTAACTAGAAATCTAGACTTCAATACTAGAATTTCCAAAATAACTTGGAAAAATAAATTAAAAATTTTTTACTATAATCTATCCTGAGATATAAATTTGAAAAATTGTTGGTATTTTTTAAATAAATCGATAATACCTTGGATCAATCTTAATCTTTATTCCTAAAAATTATAAAGTGAAATATAGGTGTGTTTTGTTTAAAAACAGTAAAGTATCCTTTATTTAAGACTAAAATTCTTGAATGAATAATTTTTCGTTTTTTATCTAAGAATTTTATGATCTTGATTGAATTCTTGAATTTATTGCATCAATTTAAATGAAATATCTCGAAGCAAAAGTCAAATTTTTCTTGAACCAAAAAAATTTTTTTAGTGTAATGTAACAAGTGACTGACAGTAATAAAAAGAGAGGTACAAAAGTCATGAAGGGATGAAGGAAGCGTAAAATTTATAAATCGATTAGCTTTTGTCGTACGTGTCTTCTTGATTTTTCTCCCAACTAAAACTCAACACCGGCATTTAATTACTTTTCACAGCTATATACCATAGAGTGATTATATATATAAATATATTGAAGGCGGCAGTGACCGGGTACCGCAATAAACTCGACTATCTCCATCACAATCGAGACTTGCGGTGTCGCTTATCTGCGGCAATTCATCTCCCCGAGTCAATGATGGAAATGAAATATTTTCGCGAGGGTAAAAAATAATGGAATAATAAAAAAAATAATAAATATTCGCACATATTGAGTCTCGCGAGGGTGGACGTCGTCAGGCTCGTGCTCGTGGATGAACCGTTTAACGATTGCTTTATGCACTGACTATGTAGAACGTATATGCATCCTCCTCTATTTGTTTTAATTCGTTCTCTGTGAGGTGGAGGTGGAGGTGTAGCTGTAGGTGGTACGGGCCCAGCCCGAGTGAACTCAATGAGTGAGTGAGTGAGTAAGTGAATGAGAAAATGATTGAATGAGTAAAGTGATAGAGAGACAGAGAAATCCCCGGATGGCTTTGGCCAAGCGACCAATTAAAACCCTTCACCGTATACCTGGAATTGATATTGGAAACAAAAACTCCAATTTCAGGCGCGTCACGTAACTGTACCAGCAGCACCAGCAGCCGCGTGTTAATTGACCACCAGCTATTACACGCCGGGACGCTATTGGCTGGTTACAATTTTTCTAAATCATTTTTCCGTTCCACTTTTTCATTTTTCATCGTAATTCTAAAATGCTTTTTTAATTTTTTTAGTTATAATTGTATTTTTATTTTTTTGGTTGGGGTATGAAAGTATTTAATTGATTTTTTTCTTTTTCAAAATAAAAATTAATTAACCTTATGAAAAAAATTTTTATTAAAAGTGTATAAAATTATTTTTAATATTTAATTTCTGACAGAAAAAAAGGTTTACTTGAGCCTAGAAAATATTTTTCTTCCTAATTATTTTCTTGAGCGAAAAAAAATTTTTTTTGACACAAGAAATTTCACTTATTCAAACAAAATTAATTCTCTTGCTTTAAGAAATACGTATCTTGATCCAAGAAAATTTATTCAAGTCAAGAAAATCTTGTTGTTTTGAGAAAATTCAGCCTCTTGCTCCGAAAAATTTAGTTTTTGATAGAAGTAAATTTTCTTGTTTTAAGAAAATTTCTCTCTTGCTCCAAAAAATTAAATACAAAGATAGAAGTAAATTTTCATTAATATTTTTATTGATTAACATGTCAAATGGGAAGATCAAATAACATTTCATCATTTTTTTTCATTCAATATGTATAATTGCACGCTAAAATAATATAAAATGGGTATCAAATATTCAAGAGAAAAATTTTCTCAAGGTGAGAAAATTTTTTTCTCAGCTGAAGAAGGTGGCGCTGCTTCCCTAAAGTATCTAAAAATCTTGATCAAACATAAAAATTTATTGTATCAAGTATTTATGATAATTTGAATTAAGAAAAAATGACTTCCACCAAGAATAGAATTTCAAGAAAAATTTTTACTTCGGCCAACACAACTTCGGTCTTCCTTCAGGCATCCGAAAATTTTCTTAAGCCAAGAATTTTATTCTTCAGTCAAGAAATTTTTCTTTCTGTATGGTTTTTTTGGATAAAAAGTTTCTTTAATATAACTTAAAAAAAATGGAAAAACACCAAAAAAAGTACTGTTACATAAGTTAAGTCGAAAGACCGTTAACAAGCAATCTAACTAATATATGTATGAAATTATGTCGTCAAACATATACCATAGTATTATCTATACTTAGATATATGTGTACATCTATGTAGATGGAGATGATCGTCAGCAAATTTCGCGCGTTAATTAGATCGACGAGGCGTAAAATAGAGTGTATATGTATGTGTATATTGTCGGCCCAAGGGGGCTTTGCATAGATTACGAGTCGCGTCACATAGCGAGTGTATACTTAACGAAAATATCTCACTGGTATACTGCTATACTCTATGGGCAATAACACAACATTCTAATTAGAATATGCAAAGAGCAATTGCTATTATTGCGGCTTTAGTAATTTAACTCGCGCAAGTAACAGCAGTTTTAGGATGGAAAAAAGCACTTTTATTATTATTTATTTTTTCTAGTTTGTTTGTCAACTCCTATGCATTCCGAGTGTCTCATTACTATCCAGAACGATCAACTAATTGCGGTTTGTAATTTAACGGTTGGTAAACCATTCAAGTACACCGTTGACGCTCTTATCATGCTCTAAATACTTGTTTATATATTAATTATTATTTTAAGTATATACTATCGAGTTTTTTGCAGCGATGAGCTGCAATTATTATTATTATTCCACCATAGAAAATATTTATATTGAAAATAGTACAAAGTTCTCTTGAATCAACTCAAACTTTTTGACAGTATAGATCTATTTTTTATTTAATTAAAATGAATTTTTTCTTCCGAGTTTTCTTGAATATTTTTCTTGAATCAAGTTAATTTTTTTTTTTTAATCATTTCTACTGAATTTTTCTTTTATATATATTTTAATAAAAAAATTTTATTTATTTCTTAATTGAATCATTTTTTTTTTTTATTAGTAACATTAATAATTAAAAAAAAAAAATTAAAATTAAAGATGTCCAAGAAAAAATCTCTGAATAATTTTTTATTAATATTTTATCAATCTTCAATTATTTTTCTGCCTCGGTTGATACTGTTGATTATTCACATAACTCAGTTAGTGTTTGATAGTCCAGCTGCGAAATTAATAGCCACGATTTACTTAGTTAACATAAATTTATCTCCGTGTGGTTCAATTGACCTGAGATGATAATAATAATTGTAACAACGGTAATATATACGTAGTGAATAATTGGATATTATGCAAATACGATTGAGTTGCCTGTGGGCTCGACAGATGCAGTCGACATGTGGCGTCGTCGCGGACTTCGTTTTTACCCGGATCGAAACCGCCGCGGCTCAAAGTAGTTTGAAAAAACTAAAATAATCAAGGATGAATAAATATAGAAGTGCAGGACAAATAAAATAAAATAAAAGGTTTAATAGAAAACTCCTACCGAGTCCAATGCCGATGAGACAGCCGGATGTTTGATTTCAATTAATATTATACAAATGAGTGTTAGCCGAGGGACTTTATCGCTGTTTGTACTGCGCCAATTATACTTTTTTTTTTATCCGTCTCTCAGTTTCGGCTTTAGGTGACTACTTTCTTTTATTTTTTTTTTTTTAAGCTCTATCATTGTACAAAGAGATGGCAATTAGTCGGATATCTATTTATTATTCGCTTCATCTTAGTTAGTCTTTGATCATAAAATCGTAATGACTCTTTTCAAGTGCGAGTTACGCTGTATCGGAGATTCTTTTATTTTTAGTTAATTTATTTCATTTTTAATTACCAAGTTGTATAATATTCATTATTTGTATTGTAAAAATTATAAATAATTTTTTTTCTGTATATATTTATTTATTTATTTATTAATCATAAAATATATATACTTATCATTGAATAATATAACTTTGACCTCTATTATAAAAATAATTTCTGTTGTTAATTCTATTTATATAAAATTAAT